AATTCATTCTAAATAAATCCAAATCCTACATATATTACTATTGCATCACAAGAGGAAGGAGTAAAGGAATTACTCACCATGCATGAAAAAAACACAATACACCATTTTCTTATAATAAAACAGAGTCATATAAGATGAATTTACACTTTAAAATTAAAAAAAAAAACTTATCTTCTTATAGTGACAGATTCGGTAGTTTATACTATGTTTTCTGAGACCCGACAGTTTAATAAAACTTGCATTGACTACTTCTAATTTTTTTTGCTGATATTGCTTTAAAGGATTTGTGCTTTATTGCTTTAAACCTTCATAAAAGATGAGCTTGAGGACTTCCAGTATCTCCAGAGCATTATGCTGCTATTGTGGAGTACATTGTTTTTTGTTTATTTCACAACAACCACATAGCTATGGGAGACAGTTTTATAGGTGTTTGAGGAGAAAAACAGAAAATTGTGACTTCTTTAGGTGGGCAAATGAGTTGGAGGAATCCACCCCCGATAATGATCATGTTGTACGAGTTTCCTTGGAGGATGGCTTATCTCGTGACAAAAACTAATTAAATTTTAAAAATAATAATATTATTAATTATTATTTTAACAATCATTTTTTTTTAATTTTGATTATTGTGTTATTCATTAGTTTGTGAGATGTCTGTTTTTATTTTGTAACATTCAAACAGAATATTGGCTCTCAAGTACGAAATGTGTTAGTATGAATACTTCTGTTATGAACAACTCTATAATACACGAGCAGAAAGATCATTTGTTCATAAGTAACTACAACACAACTATTTCAAAACTGCCAAAAACAAACAGATGGTCAGCTTCTGCGCGGCAGCTTGCTGCCCGAAACAGATCCTAAATTAAAGTATTTTCTCATCGTTTCTTAAAAAAATCATTTATTAAACAATCCTAAACAAATATTAATAAAATATTTTTTTATCATTGTGTAAAATTAATTAAACACATGTGAGTATTGTAGTTACTTATTGAATACATTGTATTTTTACATTTTATATATGTGGTATGGGGAATCCTTAAACTCTACCTAAGAATTGCTAATAAGCCACTACCATTTGACCGTCACCACATAATCACAAGTATTCAATTGTCTTCGTAGAACCATTACTATTGCATCACCATCATCCTACAAACATTATTCATAAAGCACTATTACTATCATATCATTGTCGCCCAACAATAGCCATCAGATCATTACCACAGATCCATTTTTAGAACGCCACTATCAAACTACCGCTTCTTAGTCGTTGAAACAATTTCATTATTAATAAATCCTTGTCAAAATGCACCAATTAAACTGTCATTACTAGACTACCACCATCGTCCCATTGCTTCTGTTTCATTACTATTTTTCATTATCTTCTTGTAATACTACATTCTCTTATTTAAGAGAAATATAAAGCATGTGTTTTACATTCATATAATAAATCCATTTTAATTAGGCTTTGCCAAGTAGTATTTTTTTCTTCATTGGTATAGAACGAAAAAATTCACTAGCATCTGTCATATACTTTTAAGATGTTAAATTCTTGTGCTCTACGACCATAAATTCTCGTGGCTTTTGTAGCAAAATATAACACATAACATTTTAGGCTTGTAATGATGACAATCTACATTTATTATATGCTAAGGAAATATGAAATCATTAATAAGGCAAGAAATAGCTTAGCAATCTTTTGTGCACTAAGGAACCACAAATTCATCAATTTAAAATTATTGCCTATTATAATTAAAATAAACATATTACACTTATTATGCGTGATTTAAAAGATAGAATCATAATGATATGTGCTAGTACATAACTAATGTTTTACTTTAGATAATAATAATTATTTTATTTTAACATATATATTGTTGAATTCATTTGTTTAGATTGATTATTTTGTTGTTTGGATATTTTTGCTCACATTATTTTAGTGGGATAGTTATTTTAATGTTTTACTTTTTAGATAATAATAATTATTTTATTTTAACATATATTGTTTATTATTTCAAAGTTTGATTGTGAAAAATAACATTTTATGACATTATATAATACTATTTTGAGAATGATAAAGCAGAAATAATAAATTTTATGATTCAAATATATGATTTTCTAAGAATTACTTTTCTCTTACAAACGTAAATCAATTACATAATATTTTAAGAAAGGAGTATTTTTGTTTATACCATATAATTCTTATATATTTACATATCTAACAACATATTTTTTTTTATATTTAAAGCACTCAAATATTTCATATCATATTAAAACATCATTATTTGATGACATCAATAAAATTTTATCACAAGCACATATCTTAGAGCATTTTCAACAACAAACATTTCATATTCAAATTCTTGATCATCCAAGTTATGATTTCATTAAGTTTATGCTTAAATGAGCATCTTGACAAGAAGAACCAAACAAATCTACAATTGGATCAATACAGGTAACCTAATCAACCTGAGTCAAGATGTTGAAGTACAATTATAGTATTTCAATTAAATATTCATGAAACAAACTTGAAATTAACATATTTGTAGTAAAATCAAGCGTCTAGATGTGAGGAATCCAATGAGCCTAAACATAGACCATCTGATCAAAAAGTAGGGGAGTAACTCACCAAAAAACTAAACGCTCTTCACTATAAATAAACCCACTCTTTTCACTTTGAGGAGGAAGAGAAGAGAATGAGAAAGTGAAATTCCAAAACCTGTTCTTGAGAGAAGACCCAATTAGTAACACATCAGCCACAATAGACCATCAGCGTCCGTATTAGCTTACCACCGTCAACCACTGCCCCCCATCAACACACTTCACTCTCTGACCATTGACCGTCAGCGACCACTGCTTATAACTGTTGTAGCCAAACTATGATGATTATTAAATTTTCCAACTTAAGCATTTTTCAGCAATATAAAAACAAGGGATATTTTCATTGTAACTGATAATCACATTCTCTCTGTTAGGAAAGAAGGGCATACCTCTGTGTTTATAAACACATAATGGATTACTTTGATTGGGTTAAGCTCCATGATTTTTTTCCTTTCACACTCTTTTTCGTAAAAATTTTGGTATCTCCCTTCTTTATATTTTTTTATCTATGTGTGTGATATATTTTCATATAAAGCTTAGATGATAAATCTCAACTTTATCGACACAAATTTTTTGGCACATAATACTTTGACATCATCTATGTGAAGCAAAATCCACCTTTATAGAAGTATGAGCACTCTTTCAATGTCTAAATACAATAATACTCAAAATAATAAAATCTTCCACCCTAATGCCAATCATTATAGGGGACAATCTGTAGTTAGGGACGAAAAGTCTCTACATTTCTTTCCCTCTGACAAGCATCACCCCGCTGTTAAAGACACCCCTTATTTGCACCTAGAAGACAATATACGGAGAATGGAGGAATCTCAAAATGAGATTCTTTAGTTTTTAGATGAAGCTTAACTACTAGTAATAATGCAAATGAGTGAGGTTCATCTACTCCAAGCTTAACCACCAATCATGTACACCCAAATAGAGAACACTCCTACGACAATCCCTCCTCATAATAGAGTTCGTTCTCAATTGGGTTAGGAAGCTGTCCTCCAATATATTGCTTGTTTCATGCATCTATCTCATGCAGTCAAACCAAATAGCAGATCTCCAATACTCTTAGAGAACTTAGCTCAATCTAGTAATGTAATTAACAATGAGTTATGACATATGATTTAAGAAGAGCTCTCTTTAAGAGACAAAAGCAATTTTGTACTTAACGTAGTTCTGAGGAGTCTTAGCCTTTAAGAGGTAGAGCAATAAAAAACACCATTCCATAAGCATTCAAGCTTTCAAATATCCACTTATGATGAGATATTTGAGTAAATTTAGATAATTTAAAATGTCAACGATTCTTGTTTCAATCAATATACAAATTTCTTGAATATCTTAAATTATGAAGGAAGCTTTTCTAATAACTTATATTTTTGAATGATACAAGCATTAATGTCAAAAAAAAAGGGGGCAACTGATATGTGAGCAATAAATTTTTTATCATCAAGCTCAAATCTAAAAGTATTTTTAGTAAGAAACATTTCAAATTCAAATTCAAGATCAAAACCAAATTTTATCAATCTTATGATCAAATCGAACAGTTTATCAAGATGAACCCAATGACATTAAAATTAGTTCAATCCGGGTCAACCAAGCTCAGACAAGCTACTGAAGCACAATTGAAGACTTTGAATATTCAATTGATCCGTCAAATGAACTCTAAATTTAAGATATTTATAATCAAATCAAGTGTTTAGATGAGAGGAATCTAACGAGTATAAGATTACTCAATTGTTAGGTCATTAATATATTGAAATCATTGAAAGAATACATATGATCAAGGGGTTCCCATGGACCAACCAATTACGTGGATAGAGAAATTGATCCTCCCCAAGAAGCTATGAATATGTCCTATCTCTTTGATTGGAGGAAGAGGAGAAGAAGAGAAGGATAAGACAAGTAAACAACAACTTTTTTAGATGATGATAAACTCGTTCTCCGTGTAGTGAAAGAATGATCTAGCCCCTATTCTTACAAACACATACTGGATCCCTTCTATTACTTTTCCATATAAAAATTTTGCTATTTTTATTTGCTATATTTTCTTATTTTTGTGATTGCTGAATTGCTGATTTTCCATACGATACTTGGGCGATAACTACTATTTTATCCCCCAAAGCTTCAAACACTGTTAAACATCAATTTTAAACATTCCGTATAAAAAGCCATATTCCACGGCCGTTTAGAACCGGTTCGAGCCGTACCCAAACGGACTTTCAGATGTCACCGTCTTTCTATGTTACTACCGGAAAACCCTAACCCTAAAACCTTTGTCAGTTGAGCTCCGCCCATTTACTTACCCCCAACCTCTCTCCCTACCACTCTTCTCTCCTCCCGATAGGGGCCTCGTCCCTCACCTTCCTCTCGGCCTCTCAAAAGGCCTAACTGCGGCGATGTATCTTTACAGCCTCACCCTTCAACAGGCGACGGGTGTTGTCTGCGCAATCAATGGAAACTTCATCGGAGGTAAAACGCAGGAGATTGTTGTTGCTCGTGGCAAAACTCTGGACCTCCTCCGCCCCGACGAAGCTGGCAAGATCCAAACCCTTCACTCTGTCGAGGTGTTCGGAGCCATCCGTTGTCTCGCTCACTTCCGTCTCACCGGTTCTCAGAAAGATTACGTAGTGGTTGGGTCCGATTCTGGTCGCATCGTCATCATGGAGTACCACAAAGAAAAGAATTGCTTCCACAAACTCTACCAGGAGACTTTTGGTAAGTCTGGCTGCCGCCGCATTGTTCCGGGACAGTACGTTGGTGTTGATCCAAAGGGTCGTGCCGTTATGATTGCTGCCTGCGAGAAGCAGAAGCTTGTATACGTTCTCAATCGTGACACCGCTGCTCGTTTAACGATCTCTTCTCCCCTTGAGGCACATAAATCCCACACCATAACCTATTCTATTACTGGAGTTGACTGTGGGTTTGACAACCCGATTTTCGCTTCCATTGAGCTCGACTACTCTGAGGCTGACCAGGATTCCACTGGACAAGCAGCGGCTGAAGCTCAGAAACACCTTACGTTCTACGAGCTTGACCTAGGTCTCAACCATGTATCTCGAAAATGGACCGAACCCATTGATAATGGAGCTAATCTTCTTGTAACAGTGCCAGGTGGTGATGATGGCCCTAGTGGTGTCCTTGTCTGTGCTGAGAATTTTGTCATTTATAAGAACCAGGGCCACCCTGATGTCCGTGCTGTCATACCCCGTCGTGCCGACCTCCCCGCAGAGCGTGGTGTTCTCATTGTTTCGGCAGCCACCCATCGCCAGAAATCGATGTTCTTCTTTCTTCTCCAAACTGAATATGGAGATATATTTAAGGTTACTCTAGAGCATAAGAGGGATGAGCAGGATCGTGTCACGGAGCTTAAAATCAAGTACTTCGATACGATACCGGTGACCTCAGCCATGTGTGTCCTAAAGACTGGATTTTTGTTTGCCGCGTCAGAGTTTGGTAACCATGCGCTTTACCAGTTTCAGTCTATTGGCGATGGAGATGACGTGGAGGCATCATCCGCAACATTAATGGAAACGGAAGAGGGGTTCCAACCAGTGTTCTTCCAGCCAAGGGGATTGAAGAATCTTGTGAGGATAGATCACATTGCTAGCCTCATGCCAATTCTGGATATGAAGGTTCTGAACCTTTTTGAAGAGGAGACTCCTCAAATTTTCACTCTTTGTGGTCGTGGACCTAGGTCTTCAATCCGGATATTGAGGCCGGGACTGGCCATCAGTGAGATGGCTGTGTCTCAGCTACCTGGTGTGCCCAATGCTGTTTGGACAGTGAAGAAAAATGTTAGTGATGAGTTCGATGCATATATTGTTGTATCATTTCCAAGTGGTACCCTTGTACTATCCATTGGAGAAACTGTGGAGGAAGTCAGCGATAGTGGTTTTCTGGATACTACGCCTTCTCTTGCAGTTTCTTTGCTAGGCGATGATTCACTCATGCAGGTTCATCCAAATGGAATTAGGCACATTAGAGAGGATGGGCGTATTAATGAGTGGAAAACTCCTGGGAAGAAGACCATTGTCAAGGTTGGTTCAAACAGACTACAGGTTGTGATAGCATTGAGTGGAGGAGAGCTTATTTATTTTGAAATGGACATGACTGGTCAATTAATGGAGGTGGAGAAGCATGAGATGCCTGGAGATGTTGCTTGCTTGGATATTGCCCCAGTTCCTGAGGGAAAACAGAGATCCCGTTTCCTTGCAGTGGGTTCATATGATAACACTATTCGGATACTTTCTTTAGATCCTGATGACTGCATGCAGGTATTGAGCGTTCAAAGTGTTTCCTCTTCTCCGGAATCTCTCCTCTTGCTTGAAGTGCAGGCATCTACTGGTGGGGAAGATGGAGCTGACCATCCTGCAAGTGTTTTCCTCAACGCTGGGTTGCAAAATGGTGTTCTTTTCAGAACTGTTGTTGATATGGTCACTGGCCAGCTTTCTGATACTCGTTCTCGTTTCTTGGGTTTGAGAGCTCCCAAGCTCTTTAAAGCCATAGTAAGGGGTAGGCAAGCAATGCTTTGTTTGTCAAGTAGACCTTGGCTTGGTTACATACACCAGGGACATTTCCTGCTAACTCCTTTGTCTTACGAAACACTTGAATTCGCTGCTTCTTTTGCTTCTGATCAGTGTGCAGAAGGTGTAGTTGCTGTTGCTGGGGACGCATTGCGAATTTTCACTATTGAAAGATTGGGAGAGACATTTAATGAGACAGTCATCCCTTTAAGATATACTCCCAGGAGGTTTGTATTACAACCCAAGCGGAAGTATTTGGTTATCATTGAGAGCGATCAAGGAGCATTTACTGCAGAAGAGCGAGAGGCGGCTAGGAAAGAGGGTTTGGAAGCAGCTTGGAAGCAGCTGGAGTTGAGAATGGAATTGCTAATAATAGAGAACAACTGGAGAATGGTGGAATTGGTGGCAATGATGAGGAGAAGGATGATCCTCTCTCTGATGAGCAGTATGGATACCCTAAAGCAGAGTCAGACAAGTGGGTTTCTTGCATTAGAGTTATAGATCCGAAATCGGGTAACACAACTTGTCTTCTAGAGCTGCAGGATAACGAGGCTGCATTCAGTATATGTACTGTGAACTTCCATGATAAGGAATATGGAACTTTGTTAGCTGTTGGAACCGCAAAGGGACTGCAGTTTTTGCCAAAGAAATCTTTAACTGCAGGTTTTATTCACATCTATAGATTCATTGATGAAGGGAAATCTCTGGAATTGCTGCATAAAACTCAAGTGGAGGGAGTTCCTCTTGCTTTGTGCCAGTTTCAAGGGAGACTTCTTGCTGGTATTGGTTCAGTGCTTAGGTTATATGATTTGGGTAAAAGAAGGCTGCTAAGGAAATGTGAAAACAAGCTTTTCCCAAATACGATTAACTCAATTCACACTTATCGTGACAGAATTTATGTTGGTGACCTTCAAGAAGTATGTACACCCTTCAGAACAGAATCTTTTTGTTAAAGATGACATTCTTCTTTTTTATAACTTTTCAATGGGTTTGCGCTGTCCTCAGGAATTATTCCTGTACTTGTCTTGTATATATTATTTTTCCTTAGGGCCTGTAGATAGTGAAAAGGTAGATAAATTTTTAGCATTTTGAGGCGCCTACCTTTTATCTATGGATTATATTATGTGTGCCATGCACTTTAGACGCTTTAGAGCAGCTGACATGATTCTCACTTCTAGGGATTTTGTTTTTTTTTTTTAGGGTGGATTGTTGTCTATGTGATAAATTATTGGGGAGGCTGAACATCTTCAGGAATTACTGCTATACCCTTTTTACTTATATATTTTTTCCTAACAAGGTGATATAGATAGTGAAGAAATAACCTTTAAACACATTCGGGAGTCCATCCGTTTTAGAAGGACTCCAGTTATTTTGTCATCCTTCTAACATTTTAGGGCATATGTTTCAAATACTGCTTTACTTGGATTCTCCAGCCACACTGCCCCATCTACTGTTTATGTTTGGAGAAAGCATCTTGACTGTTTATCAGTGACACAAATGATTTTTTGGTCATAGTAATTATAAGCTTAAATTTTAGATTTTCTATGCTTTAAGTTTAACCTACTATTTCTTCTTTACAAATAGCACCTTTCACATATATTCGAAGTCAAGTAATTTTGCTTTGATGTTTTTAAGTGCATCTGAATATCTTTATCAATGGATAAGTTCAAACTGGTTGGAGTTTATTAAAGCTGTTTTTTCCTGATTGTGTGCTAAGTTTTATCTTTTAAATCCTTATTAATCTAAATAGATTATACGACCATCTATGTGGTTTTATTACATTTTCCAATAGTGACAAAAGGCCAGCATCATAAAGGTTTAATTAAATTTCATCATAACAGCATTTTTTCCCCGTCTTGTAAAGTGGAAGGTAAATAAAAGGTTTTTTTTTTCATCATAACAGCATTTTTTCTCCGTCTTGTAAAGTGGAAGGTAAATAAAAGGTTTTTTACAAACATTACAAGCAATACTTGTATAATCAAATTTTTTCAATAAAAATGTCCCTTTAATCAGAATCTTTTTTCTTGTAAATTGTGTACTGGATTTTCATGCACAACAACAAACTTTATTATGCATTGCTGAGTTTTTTATTAACAGAGTATCATAATCACCATGACTTGTAGTTGGGGATGAATGTCTCTATATTTTCTCTCCAAAATCTTTCTTGGAATAGTGATGCTAGATGTCCTACAACTGAGATTTCATACTTTTGCATGGCTACTAGATATCATTTACTATGTTAATTCTGATGTTTATCACTTATGGATTGGAGTCATTAGTTTTATGTTACTGATATCCCTGCTACTCATTTAGACACATGATATCTAAAATTCTTTTTATATCATGTTTGAAGTGAAATGAATGCATGTAATTCCTAAGGGGCTGGTTAAATCCCGCTCTAAATCCGTTACAAGACAGGCTCTAAAAGCTAAAACTCACCTTTAATTGATTAATTCAATGAGTCCAAAATGTCGGTGAAGTTAAGAGAATGGCTGGGGGTTTTTCTTATTCTTAGCATTCATGTTTTCATTGTATCTTGGTTAAAATTCAGTGAAACATCTTTGATTTCTCTAATCACTTTTGGACTATTGATGTTGTTGTTGCAGTCCTTTCATTATTGCAAGTATAGGCGGGATGAAAATCAGCTGTATATATTTGCAGATGATTCTGTTCCCAGATGGTTAACAGCATCACACCATGTAGATTTTGACACAATGGCGGGTGCAGACAAGTTTGGTAATATTTACTTTGTACGCTTACCGCAAGATGTTTCGGATGAGATAGAAGAAGATCCGACTGGAGGTAAGATAAAGTGGGAACAAGGGAAGTTGAATGGTGCTCCCAACAAGGTGGAGGAAATAGTTCAGTTTCATGTTGGTGATGTTGTCACCTGTCTGCAGAAGGCATCGCTTATACCTGGAGGTGGTGAATGTATGATATTTGGCACTGTGATGGGTAGTTTAGGGGCATTTCTTGCTTTCACATCCCGGGAAGATGTTGATTTTTTTTCTCATTTAGAGATGCATTTGAGGCAAGAGCATCCACCTTTATGTGGTAGAGATCACATGGCGTACAGATCTGCCTATTTTCCTGTGAAGGTAAGTATTATTTTTTATTTTGTTTGGTCAGTGTTGATAAACGATCTAAAATTTTTGAACTTTTGAAATTTCAAATTTAAGCTGGGAAAGAAAGAAAAAAATGTTTGTCTGCAGTCACTTGCACGTGCGCACCCATACACATGTTCTTTTATGCTATGATTGTTTCTTGTTTTAGAAAACTGAATGAATTAGCAGTATATTATGCTGAAAGTTTCTCTATGGCTGCGGTTGATTAGTTAAACATTCATCCCTATATTCTCAAGTCCTGATTCTAAAACTTTTAAATTTTTCGAAAAAAAAAGATTTGACTTCATATAACCTGGTGGCAATGATATTTTTGCTACATAGTTTTGCGGTTTGTTTTTCTGCCACACAAAGAATGACACTGAGAATAGCATTTTTTCTTCATGACTGAAATATGTTACTGAAATTCCCATTAGCATGCTGTGTCAACCTCTAGGTATTAAATGTCAGACATTGATCAGCTTTAGCACTTTATGATCAGGAATGAGGAAGAGCACACTCATGTACATTGATCAGCTTTAGCTCTTTATGATCAGGAATGAGGAAGAGCACACTCATGTACCCATTTTTTTACAATGTTTTGTATGGTCTGAAGATTAAATAGTGAATTATGCGATGTAGTTCTGCACCTATATGAATACCATGGGAATCCTCGTTAATTTTGCTCCATAAATACAAATCTACTTGGTTCGGACATAATGTATCAAAACACACACAACTATACTTGCACTGCAGCTTGGAAGGAATGATAAAAAAATATAAGAATGAAGTTAATTCATAATTCTATTGTGGAGGTCCCAGCTTGAGGTTGATTGAATCATATTGATGATACATGACACATTGGGCCTTCACCTAGTAGATAGCCCTACCAGTGGAGCTCACTTAATGATCATAGCATGAATCAACCTGTTATTGTTGTTGACCAATAAAATATTTATTTAAAAAAAGAATAAAAAAAAGAAGTCTATAATTGTTCCCGCTCAACTTATTGCTCATAACTAACACGACTGATGCTCTCCCTAGGGGTTCCCCGAAGTCCTCCTTCCCTGTTTAAGCATAGAAACCACAACGGAGGCCAAGCCATCCATACTTCTTCCTCTCGATCGCAGAAAACTGCTTTGGAACACTCGCTCGATCCTCCCCGTGCACGAAACTCAGTCGCCAGCGCCAAAGCCTTGCAAGATCACAGGAAAGCCGCATGGTAGAGCTACAACTTGTCTTCCTTCCTAGTTGCACACTGAAATTAGTCCTATCGATCGTTCCTTCCACATTGTTCTTCCCTGTGCTACTCGATCTGCTCCTAGGTTGCACGCAGGAGCCGTATCTCACCTCCCTTCCTCTGTCTCTCCTGTGTTCGGGAAGGCAAGGACGTAATCGTGGCATGCAATGACCTTTGAAACTCCAATTTGTCTCTCCCGCACTCAGTAAGGCAATGAAGTGATAGCTCATATCCGATACTGTTGTGATTAAGGTTGGTTGGGAAGGTAATGATGGAATCATGACTTATGAAGACTTTGAAGCTCCCATCTTCCCTCCTCTGTGTTGTCTCCAGACCAAGGCACTTACGATACAATCGTGATTTGAACAAGGTAGGAAGGCAATGATTGGATATTCTACCTACAGAGACTCAAAACTCCCACTTTCTTCTTCTGCGTTTGGGAAGACCAACGATGGGATCTTAGCATACAATAACCTTTGAAACTCCTAATTTCCTTGCTTTTCCTGCGCCTATCTCCTTCTCGATACAATTACGATTAGATCCAACAGGGAAGCAACGCCGGTGTCGCAACATACAAAGGCCTCCGCAGCTTTGATCTTCCCTCTAGTGCGCTTCCCTTGAAGCCACACCCGAGGCGCTTGATCACCCTCTGCCCTAGCTTGCTTCGCTTCTCAAGCAAATCACACGAAAGGAGCCGTTAAATTAAAGTGAGCCCCCATGATTTTCCTTATTCGAGCCTAACTCGATCTCTTTTCTAGCTTATATAATTCCATAATCCGAGCCGCAAATTACCTTTGGTGAAGAATATTTCTTTCTTATTTGTGCTTTACATTATATTATATATATATATATATGTTGTACTTTTATTTATTGTCGTCGATCTCCGTCATTGTAGATCATCCGCTGGCAACACTGCCGAAGCTCGAAAAGGTATAACTTTGGGGCAACGGGGTACTTTTTTTGAAAATGTCCACACGAGGGAGCGTGAGTACTCATTCATGGGGAATTAAGTACCGTTTGTGGAAAACTGTGGACTCATTTGGAAAATTTTTTTAAATTGAGATTTTAAAACACTCGTCTATGGGAAAAACGAGCACCCAACCGTGTGAATTAAGTACAATTTGAGAAATGTTAGTTTGTGATCTAACATTTTGTGCTAGTACGTTGAAGGCCCATCACATCTTTTAAGATTGCAGGGTAAATTTACGTTTTTGCTCTTCTGTCGAAGTGTCTCATGATACCAACCGACATGTCTTTTAAGATAGCCGGGAAGGCTGTCATTCTCTCGTACCCCTTAACAGGAGTTGACGTCGGGAGGCTGCCAAAATTTCTGGTGATATTGAACTTGTAGATAATATAAAAATATGGACTGTTTGGATCTTAAAATTGACAAAATTGAAAGGAAGTGTATGCTACAAAATACATAATAATACTTAAGTTTTGAGTCGTTTCAAGAGGATAAATTAAATGCACTTGAGACTTGCATAAGAGTCATGAAAAATTGAATGACTCTTCAATTAATACAATTGGACTTTTCTTTGGCTTTAAATTCTATCCTATGTGAAGATGATTAAATAAAATATATATACTAATATAAATGAATCTTTATGCGATTTATTTGAAAACATAAATTGGGCTTGGATCGCAGCTTGGGGGGATGACAAATTGAATTAAATTTTGGATATCATAAATTTTGGTTAAATTTAAGACAAAAATGTTATTTTTATATGTTAAAATGAAGAATTAATGTAACCAACAGCCACCGGATTCACAACATGTTTACAAGCGAACATAAGACAGTACTTTATAAAGTTTAAAGTGAACCTCAAAATGCATCAATATATTCATTCAAATGAAGTAAATTTATATAAATTCAAGGCTTATAGGTGATTCAATTCATAATTTAAAATTATGCAAATTGCCTTAACATATGTAAAGTCGTTTAAAATAGTTAAATATGTGAAATTTAGATGCACACATGTGCTCCAACCAACTTATAGAATGTTCGAACACTATGTTTGAGAGTCATATGCAGGCTAATCAAATCGCCTTTTCTAAAATATAGGGTTGTAAATCCCGTCGACTTGTTCGATCCTCCTCTTCATAAGGATTAGAGTTAACGAGTCTAGTAAACCCTAATAAATATTCAAATTCTGAAATAAAAATTTCATGTCCAAATCAGCAGTCTGATCCTCCTACCTATAAAGTTAAGAGTCGACATGATTTATGTTTTGAAAATCTTAAACTAACAAAATTAAATGTTCCCCTTTAAATATAAAGCTTTAAAACGCTCAATATCCCGATAATGATTGAGTTGATAGAATATTTCAACCAAAATGGTCAAAATTTTAAATTAGGATATTAAAATAATTAATCAATTTAGGTTTCATTTGGGGCGGCAGTGCGGTAGTAGTGCAACACCACTTCGCACTTTTGTCTGTTTGGGTAAACTGCGTTTTCCCATCGTCCTGGCTAGGTGCGATAGCAGTTTTTTTACTGCGGTTTGACTTTTCCAACAAAATAAAAATAAATAATTGCCACCGGAGTTTTTTGAACATCAGATTATTTATTAGCAGCCTCACAACTATTTTTTAATAGTTCATTTGGGGCGGCAGTGCGGTGGCAGTGCAACACCGCTTCACACTTTTGTCTGTTTGGGTAAACTGTGTTTTCCCATCATCCTGGCTAGGTGCGATAGCAGTTTTTTTACTGCGGTTTGACTTTTCCAACAAAATAAAAATAAATAATTGCCACCGGAGTTTTTTGAACATCAGATTATTTATTAGCAGCCTCACAACTATTTTTTAATAAGTTGCAGTCGCCCTAAACAGATCCTTAAACTCGAGTTAAAATTCAATCACTTAAATACTAAAAGCAAATTTCATATACCATCCACAACAGTTTGTTGATGGTGACAAACTTCTGATTGACTTTAGCTCACAAAGTGCGGATGTCATATTAAATGTATCAATATATTCACAGTCAAAGTGATTGTATGCAAGTAAGGACGTGACACGAGTCCTCTATCCACATGGTTCAGTTGCCAAATGACACAACAAAATAGTGGTTACGACCAGAGCCCTCTGACCGGGTGGTTGACTCTAAATGACACAATTATATTATAGTCACGACTGAAACTCGTATGTTCCTCAATGATTTTGTACCCTTTGAGTTATGAATCATAAATGTATAATTGATTGACCTAAAGTCTTCTGTTAGCTAAAGTCGATTCAAATTTATCCTCTTAGACAAACCATCCACCCTAGATCTACAATGATCTCTTAAACGATGCAATTCATTTCTGCTAACAAGAATCCTTCTTTCAGATTGTGTTGACTATCTCCTCTGATTTGGCAGATCAGCGGTCACGACGATCTAAGATGACGGAATGATGGGATCTTGATCGGGTTTCGTCTTCATTTCTCCACTATTCACTTTAAGTTTCAAGTGATGAATTCTACAACTTAGATTCTAAATCTGCTGCTATTATATGCTGATTCTCAGTTCTTAATGGCTAGCTTTAATCGAAAGAGCTCTCCTGTTATTGGGAGGGGTAATTAACCATAGGGGCTTGCACCTATGAGAAACGCCAAACCCTAGATCAGAAAGTCATCGCAAAATGAGGGCGAAATCTCTGGATAGTGTTTTATTTACAATTCAATTAGCCTTCTGAAAATTTGACCCTCCAAAGCTCTCTCAACAAACAAAATAAAAATAAATGCAAAGAGTTCTCGGGAAGCGGTGGTGAATTTTCGGAGCCCACAATCATATTCTTGACTAAATTTTGACCTAAGGGGGCTCAATTGATAAAGCTTAGGTCCATACTGCATTTAGGCTTGTTATTCGAGCTCATATAATCATCCCTAATTTCAATGTGGCTGTTTGATTACTCGTAATATCTTTATTGAACCCATCAAATGCCTCTTCTCAGTAAGAGCTATTTCAAATATGATTGAGGAATAGAGATTATCAGCCTCGAACATGAGTTAATCTCTAAATTACTCGGGAAAGATAAAGTATAGTTTCGTTTTTTTACTCTAAATGCAATTGATCTAGTTAAGCTTGGTCGACTTATTTTGATTGTATCCAAGAGTCAATTAGGCCATGATCAGTCCATTAGGCTCAAATTTAATAATATCAGTTCAACGAGAAGCATATCCATCACGTCATTCACATTTTATTTCATTCGATTACCTATTAGAATATGTCTAGTCACTTTGAATCGCAGTCTAGATTCAAGACCATGCTGAAATTGATCTTGAAGCCAAGCCAAGCTCTTAGCTTTTTGATCCAGGTGTGCTGCTTTTATGTGTATCACATCAAACTTGCTAAGCACAATGTTTTTTATTTGTTTCATTTTTCAATTTGCATTGCGGAGTCTTGTTGCCCCACACCTACTAGCTATCGTATTTTTTACTCCATCTTTGCCAGCTTCTTATTACACGTTAATCAGCCGCTTAGTCCTACCACCATGCTGCCACAACTATTGCATTTTCAATGTTAGCCTTCAAGAAGAATTCCAAGTGACAACCATTTCGATACATGCAACTCATTGTTCTCCCCATTTCGGCTTCAATTGCTCTCTGTAACCTTGCCCGATGCCTACTACTCTCTGTTTCTCTTCTCCGCCATGAGAATCATCACTTGAAATAGGGGATCTTGTTGCCTATGATCAAATGCTTTTGAAGAAACCAATAGAAGAGTAATTGAGGATTGTTTTATTTTACCCACCTACATCGACATTACGTCAACCACCGTTTTATGATTTTTATTTGAACTCTCATTGACGCTGATGAACTCTTGTATCTACTCCAGGAGACTTTCCCTGTCTACTGACTATCTCACCGCTCCTGAACACCATCTTGCTGCATTAATCAGCGGTTGTTTGTGTGTGTTCACCTCGCCAGCATTGTGAGGTTCGCCTCACCAGTCTCGTGTGCTGCCTTTCACATATTCGCGCTCAACGACCTGTCTCTCAACACTTACATTTGTGTTGGATGACCTTGTCATGGCTGCATATGTTTACACAAAATGACTTGGATGCCATCCAAAATCATACATTACAACACATGAGCATCATCATGTGCACCCATGTTCAACAGGGCATACTTGACACTTGTTAGTCTTGCAGGCCATTCGAACATAAGTTTATATATAATCTACAGTTTAGATAGCACGGAAACAACAAATTCACTTTTTAACATTCGAATTCGGTTCCTTGAGATTCTCCACTTTGTTTTCTTAAATGCTGTACGAACATTTGCAGGATGTAATCGACGGCGACCTCTGCGAGCAATACCCAACCCTTCCACCTGATTTGCAGAGGAAGATTGCTGATGAACTGGACAGAACTCCAGGTGAGATATTGAAGAAACTGGAAGACATCAGAAACAAAATAATTTAAAGAATTGAATCCCGAAACAAAGCTAGGAAACAAGAGCTGAGATGTACTTTCTACTCCGTCATTACGGTGCTGACTACGGTTTAGATTATAACGTCTCAATGGTTTGTACCTTTTCTCAATTTTATCATACCCAGTAATATTTCTCTCATCCTCTTCTGATTTGTAGGGATTTATTATTGTAAAATCTTGAATATGGAATGTATCAAGTTTTTGTTAATAAGTTAAATTGCTTACCAGTATTTCTCTGTTGTTGTTTTTATGGTTGATTAATGTTCACTTATCTGTCGATAATTGTGGTACGTTTGGGATCACTCTTAATTTTGATTTTTTTTAAAAAAATTATTTTATTGTGCTTATGCTTGAAATAAAACAGGTTTTTAATTTCATTTTATTGTGCTTATGCTTGAAATAAAACAGGTTTGATATGTTATAATATATTTAGTTGTTTTTTAAAATACTTAAAATAATTTTTAGTTGTTTAAAGTGCTTTTAAAAATAAGTTAATTTATTTTTTAAAAAGAAAAAAATATCAAAATTTATTAGTAGTACTTTGCAACAGTTATAATAATCAGTACCACTTTAGTGGGGTAGTAGAATTTTTTAAGTGTATTTGAGCATTATTTGGTGTACCAATTTGGTTGCAATGGGCACATAGACTATTTAGGAGCATTAGAAACAAATTTGCGTGCACTTAGGGTTGCAGATAATGTTTTGGTTTAAAATTAAACGATATTTGTTCAGTTAAAAAAGAAAAAGTCTAATTAACCACTGAATGTTCAATTTACTGCCTTCAATCGTACAATTAGGGCTGTAAACGAGCCTAGCTTGAGCGAGCTCAGGCTGGGCTTGTGTTCGGCTCGATTTAAATATTCGTGTTTGTGTTCTGCTCGTGTTCGGCGAAATTGACTGGTTAAATTAAAATTGAGAAAAATAGATGTAAAATATGGGATTCGAACCTTGATCAAATATATACAGAAGAAGACACTAACCACATTGTCATATGAGGTGTTATGATTTAAACTTAAACATAAATATATATAATATAATAATATATGTAATATATTGTTATATAATTTTTTTTCGAGTCATTTCGAACTGAACACGAGTTTATTACTGTTAAATATTTCCTATCATAACATAATAACATATCCCCATTGCAGTCATATCATACCTTTATAAATTACATTTTTACCACTTAAAAAATCTTTACTTAAAAGAGCTCTGTAATTTTTTTTTTTGTTTTATTTAAAAAATTTTATTTTTGAAATATTTTTAATTCCAACAAGCCGAACATGTGCTAAACACGAAAATTTAAGTCAAATTGAACACGGCAGACACTTCACAAGCTAATTCTGAACACGGACCAATTTTATACAAGTCATACATGAGCCGAGCTTGAGTGGCTCATTTATTACTCAGGCTCAACTCATTTGCAACCTCATGTCACACACAATTCTTATGTCTATACATATTGCACACCCAAACTTTCATATTTACACAGATAGCACTTCAGTGTCTTAAACATATTAAAAAAAAAGTACATTAGGCTTTTAGAAATGATAATAGTGCTACCTTTAATGTGTTATAAAAAATTTACATATTATATGTATAAATATGAAAGTTCGGCGTGAAATATATTAATAAAAAGAATTGTGTGCTCTGTAAGTAAATGCCCACCCAAAAAAATCACCTTATCACCTACGTTTTCCTCAGTACACTGTTCATAGCATATGTGCTTACGTAGTTGAAATTCTTGACAAGTATAGGAGAGAAAAATTGGATGACTTGGACTTGATGATTAAAATGGACCTGAGTTCAGATTAAAGAGAGCTACAATAGAAAAGTTAAAAAAAGAGATCAAGAGATGTGAGCTAGTACAAAAGTTAATAGAAGCAACACTAAAAACAAATAAGGCATTTACATACATACAACCCCATTCGTAGGTATTTAAATATCGTGACACCTAAAATTTACCAATTTTTTTACATTTATACCACTTAAATGTTTCATATCATATTATAATTACATGTCGAACTTGAAAGATACGCGGGAAAACCAAAGAACTTTTTTTTTAGTTAAATATTCATTAATTTTCTACTTGAAGTTGGATATATTATGAAAAATTTTAAATAAATTTTATTTCTTTACAAGAAAAAACAAAAGAGAGCACCACAAAACAATACTTAATAGAAAGAAAACAGAGACGAAAAATCGACCCCAATGATAATAATCCTCAATGGGGATCCATTATGCTGGAAGATGAAGTAACATAATAATATAAAAGTATGAGTTAGAATTGCAATTTCTAGTTTAAATGTAAATTTTATTTGGTAAATATATGCCCCTAAATGGGAAAAGAATGACTAAAACCTGTCTGCAATAAATTATTACACTTGCAGCCAAAATAAACATGAAACAATTAAACCGACTCCTGCGATACGCAAAATTCAATTGATTTCATCCCATCTTCCCCTAAAAATTTTCCTTTGATCAAATAATTGAAGGAAACTATATTGCTGCTTCATACTTAAGCAGCACTCCAACCTTCTGTTAATCTGCATTAATCTATGGCAATAAAGAGCTCCAAAAACCATCAAAAGGTTCGTGAGGTACAAACTACCTTAAAAGGGTCAATCGGATCGCGGCAACAAGAACATAAAGCCTGAATTTTCACGAATAAGTAGCGGTGGTTCGATGTCAGAAATTTCAATCTGTTCCATCGATTTCGATAAATCATCCACCGAAAACGGAATGCTGTATATTTGGCACCCCAAAGTAAGCACTCAGAAGAGACATCCACACAAATTAAGAAGAATGTGCTACTCAAAGAAGAGGAAAGATAGGGAGTAAGGAGAAATATAAAACCTCGAGTCATCGTCCAGCAAGAACGAGTTGCTCACAGCATTATTTGAGTCTTCTGTCATCAATATCCTCATATTTGATATAACCTAATTTGAGATTCCAAAACCCATAGTCTTGAACTTTTAGATAACCTTATTTGAGACTAACGGTTATAGAAATGGAAAAAAAACTGAGAAATGAGAAGTAATAAGCCTGAAACTTACATCTGGAGAAACACTATGCGTGCCATATTTATCATCCCAGTACATTGTACTGATCCGATATAGCTGCTGTATGCTGAGGACCTGTGGACAAAGGATGGCTGGTTCAATTTAAAGAATATTAGTGGAGGAAATGATGCTAAGAAATATAAAAAAGATTTACTTACTGGGCAAAGATCATGGCTTATTTCATCCAGTGTTTTCTTAGATTTTTGATGAATGACCTAAAAGTGAAAGTAGAAGAATTTAATGGGGGAAAAAATAAGACGAGATTTATTTTTTCAACTAATTTTCGAGATAGGACATCAGTGTTCTGAATTTTCATTGATTGCATGTTTAGCACGAAACAAAAGGAAAAAAACAAATACAAAAAAATGAATAAATGGGCCAATAAAGATGGATAGAGTTGTAAATCAAAGAGGCTGCTAATTCCATATGCAAAGAAGGAAATGAATTTACCAGGAATCCAATGGCCTGTCTGATATGCTTCAACTCATCCCAGGCCGAGCCTGCATACTACAATTTCAGAAGTAATTAGTAAATAAATATGAATTGGAGGCGGGAAATTAAACAGCCAATTTTAATGATTCATGCTGAGAAGTAAAAATTCAAAGAAAATCAACAAGGACATCTAATGTGAAAGTAGTAAGATATCCCTCATCACTTCGTCTAGGACATAAAATACGCTATCCCTGCACCGAGAGAACCCAAAATGAGTTGGTTCGACACCAACAACAACAACAAAGCCTTAATCTCACTACGTGGGGTCGGCTACATAAATCCTTTTTTCTCCATTGCGTCCTATTTAGTGTCATATTTTCATTTAGTTCTGGTAAATTAAGATCATTTTTTATACAATAAGCCCAAGTCTTCCTAGGTCTACATGTCTTTCTTAACACAAGTCGAATCTAAAACATCTACTCTCCTAATCGGATCATCAGATGGTCGACGTTTAATGTGACCAAACCATCTAAGATGACTTTCTCTAATTTTGCCCGTCACAGGAGCTACATCAACCCTATCACGGATATATTCATTTCGCATTTTTCTCTAAGTGTAAAGCCACTCATCCACCTAATCATTCTCATCTCGGCAACACTTAACTTATTATTATGCTTCTATTTTAAAGGCCAACATTCAGCGCCATAGAGTATTGAAGGTCTCACCACCGTCTTATAAAATTTTCCTTTCAGTCTAAGTGGTATTTTTCTACCACACAAAAGGCCCGAAGCATTCCTCCACTTCAACCAACCAACTTGAATTCTACTATTAACATCCGCATCTATATCACCATCGCTTTTAGCAACGGACCCAAGATATCTAAATAGTTCACACCTTTTAATAATTTAATCACCCCAAGTCACACTTCTGTCACTAGAGCTACTACTAAAATTACATTCCATATATATATTCCATTCCATATATTCAGTTTTAGTTCTACTTAAATGAAGGCCTTTATACTCCAATGTAAACCTCCACATTTCAAGTTTTTCCCGGGCTTTTTCTCTCGTTTTATTCACGAGAGGGATATCATCAGCAAAAAACATACACCAAGGTACATTCTCCTGTAGATGTCCAGTAAGACCATCCATAACTAAAGCAAAAAGATATGGGCTTAAAGTCGATCCCTGATGTAATCCAACAGAAATAGGAAAATATTTGGTTAATTCTCCTTCAGTTTGAACACAAGTAACAGCTCTAGTACACATATCTTTAATGACTTGAATATAAGTCATATCAACACATTTCTTCTCAAGAACTCTCCAAAGGATATCTCTTGGAACCTTATCGTAAGCTTTTTCTAAATCAATAGAAATCAAATATAAATTCTCCTTATTATCTCTGAACTTCTCCATCAACCTCTCAATAAATGTATAGCTTCCATAGTAAACCTGTCCGACATAAATCCAAAATGATTATGAGAAATTTTTGTAATGCGTCTTAACCTATGTTCAATTACCTCTCCCATAACTTTAAAGTATGGCACATCACCTTAATTCCTCTATAAGTTGCACACTCTTGTGCATCCCCTTTAATCTTAAAAATGGGGACCAAAATACTCTTCCTCCACTCCTCAGACAACTTTTTGTTTTTAAAATAATATTAAAGAGTTCAGTAAGCCAAGAAACTCCCAAATCTCCTAAATATTTCCACACTTCAATTGGGATATC